GAAGGAGCCGGCGCCGCGCGGCCGCACTAGAATGGAGGTACCCAGTGGCAGTGGCGGCAGCGACCCCAGCGGCGATGGCGCTGGGGACAGTGCCCACCCGGACCCCGGGGCCCCCGGCGCCGCTGCGCCCAGTTCCGGTCCCGGACCGTGTGCGGCTGCCCGGGAGTCCGAGCGCCAGCTGCGCCTCCGCCTGTGCGTCCTCAACGAGATCTTGGGCACCGAGAGGGACTACGTGGGCACCTTGCGCTTCTTGCAGTCGGTGAGTGTCGCCCGGGGAGCGCAGGGACACCCTCTGTTCCGGCCGCTAGCCCCGCTGCGGTCCCCACAACCTGTGGCCGCGGTCCCAGGGGGTCTCGAGAGTCGCCTCGGGGCCCGCGGGGCGCGCAGAGAAGTGGGGAGATCCGGGCTCCAGAGCTGTGCGGTCGCCTGCCTGGCTGGCCCACGGTCCAGCCCCGACCCGGAGTCTCCCGCACTCGGTTTTCCTCCGGCGCGCGCTGCCCTTTTGTCTTTTTCTTCCCCCTCCCCGCCTTTCAAATAGTTTTTAAATTAGTTACATCCGCGAAGCAGGGGCTCTGGGACCCAGGCGCCGGGAGCCTTCGCTCCTGCTTCCTTTTCCCGGGGACAACTTCGCCGCCTGGTGCGCTACCGACTACTCATCTAGGACGGACCCGAGAAACCCGAGAGCCCAGAGTCCCTTCACGTTGAATAGAGTAGGGTAAACCCCAAATGCTGAAGAGGGACGGGGATTGGCAGAAACCCAGAGTAGGATCCCACATGCATCAGTCTATTGCTGGAGCTGAGGGACAGTACGTTTCACACTCACAACTGGGCAATTCAGGCTCCCTAACAGCCTCCTAACCCCCATCTCTAAGTTGCAAAACTACAGTCTTAGACTTTGTAATAACACCCGAGCGCTTGCTGTGTACCAGGCACCTTACATGTGTCATAAGCAGGTTTAAGCTTTACAAGTAGCGCATAATGTAGGGACGAGTATTTCCCTTATTTTTTAGATTGCGAGAGCTCCAGAGAGGTTGAGTAACTTGCCCAGGATCACTCAGCTGATTAAGTGGGGTACTGGGCTTTGAACCAGGGCAGTCCCAGCCGGTGCTCTAACCTCCTAAGCTGCATTTCTTTTCTTTTTTTCTGTGAGAGGGAGGAAGGTGCCACTTCCCTAGTCTCCTAGGAAGTGAGAAAAGTGGCTGGGGTTAGAGGGGGTGGGACAGGGCTAGTGCCTCCGATGGAAGTTAGGAGACTCCAGGGGCTTTGATCTTCATGCCTCCTGCTGGGACCTCATTTACTCCCCTTCTCTGCTCTAGGAAGTCTTTTAATCCTGGTTCAGGAAAGGCTGGTACGGGGGTGGTGGCTCTTTCAGAGACTCCAGAGCCAGGCTGGAGTCTCCAGCTCCCAGTCTTTGCAGCGAAGAGGGAGACTCTGTGATTCTCCGGGGCTCCCTGTGACTTGGGGATGCAGCCGGGCTCTGTGAGATCCGAGTTCCAACAGGCAGGAGAGAGCAATGGATCCCTTCTCCTTGTGAAAGGAGGTGGGGGTGGGGTGGGGGGAGGGAGTAGTGTGGCGGCATTGAAAACCGTTTGGCGAAGGACCCTTCTAGAGAGGCCTGTAAGAATAAAGCAGGGTTGGCTCTCTGTCCCCTCTCTTCCTCTCTCACAGTTAAAAAAAAAATGTACTCAATTGGAAGCTGGCAGTTTTTGAATTAAAGATGTAGACAGCCCTGGTGTCTCTGAGCAATGTCCAATTCTAGGGAAGTCCTCACTTCTCTTTCTGAGCCACTCCCCGCTCCTCAATCTGGAAGAGAAACAGGAAACACAAACCAATTTTTACATTAATGGGAAAGAAAACATACCTCTTCCTCCCACGCCCCTGCCCTAGATGGTGAGGTTCTTTCAGAGCAGATATAGGTTGATTTTGGGTTAACTGTGGCTTTAAATTGTCCACGTGTAGAGTCAAAGGAAGCTGGAATAATGGAAATTGATTGGAGTCAACTGTTCTTATTATTAAAGAAATGGGAAAAATAAAGATTATCTCCTTGACACTTAATTTGCTGAGTTCATCAAATTTTTTGTGTTTGTTGATATGTCAGTTCTGAGATGAGCTGGTTCTGACTTTGACCTGCCTTAGACCAGTCATGCCACCTCTCCTTACCTGTTTTCTCACCTGTAAAACAAGGGGAGGGCAATCCAGGCTTCCTTTCTGCTGTGTCCTTTAGTGTGTCCCCAAGCTGGTACCAGAAACGGCCTGATGGTGTAACCTGACCAGCCATACCTTGTTTGTGAGCCACAGGGGTCCTCTCTCATCTTCCCCATCAGGAATGGCCCCTCAGCAACCCAAGGCATTGTCGTTTTTAAAACCCAGGGCTTAAAGCTTCAGGAACTGCTAATTACCAAGGCTTTCCACGGCAGTGAGGCTGGCAGCCTGCAGGTTGTGATTCTCTTCTGTCTTCCCACTCTCTCTTCCCAGCCTTTATACTTGCTAAGGCATTTTTCCTCCTGCCTCTTGGCTTGGAAGAATGCGTGGTAATCCCTCCATGCTCTTAATTCCATGTGGTAGAGGCAGGCTTTAAAGGACTGCCCTTGCCTCCTGTGTCCCTGGTTGAAGGTCCCATTGACCAGTGGAAATTAAGCTGTTGTGATAGGCTGAGCATTGTGGGAGATGCCAAGAAGCCAGGTCTGGCTTCTGCCCTGTAGGAGAGGACAGTCTAGTCAAACGTGGTAAAGTGGGTATTTAAAAAAAGTCCAGGTACAAGGTTGGGCTGTGGAGCCAGACTGCTTGGGGTTAAGTCCTTGGACTTGTGACCTTGGGTCAGTAGCTTAACCTTTTTGAGCCTTAGTTTCTTCATCTGTAAAAGGGGGATGATAGTAGATCCTATTTTATAGGTTTTTAAGAGAAGTGAGTTGTATGAATTGATTGATCTAAAGCACTTAGATCAGTCTCCAGCAGGTAATAAAGAATATAAATATTATTTATTGTCATTAATTATTATTATTTGTTATGTGATAATTAAAGAAATAATACAGATGATTAGAGTTATGGGATTTTAGCATTAAGAGAGCAGGGTAATCAGGGAGGGCTGCCTGGAGGAAGTGAGGTCTGAGTCAGCACTGAAAGGAGGACAGGGACTCTGAGTGAGTTTCCTTTTGACCC